TTGGAACTCTGAACAGCACTCCACTTACAGAGGTGCTCTACTTTACAGGTTTCACTGTACACCATAAGAAACATACCACCCATACTTGTACATGCTCAATAACAGTAGAGATCAAAATATATAATGAAAATATCTTTCTTTCTTTTTCTAGTACATGTATAAACTTTAGTGAGGCCATATTGGCATTTTAGGTTGGCCATCACTTACATGTAAAAAATTAAGTATAATATATAGATGGGGACGACTGTGCATCGAAGGGTATCCCAGGGACCAGAGGGGTTGGTGCCAAGTATATGTGTTAAAAAACAAAATAACACTGATGACATTGATTAGACTTGATTTTATTGGCCTTGTTGGCCTTTAGCTTTTTTACAAGTGCTATTACATTAGAAATTGTTAAGGTATCAGCCTAGTAATTACAATATAAAGTATAATTGCATATAAATCAATGACAATTCTATATATCAAGATAAGCTTTCAGTATTAAGTCATTGAAATTGGCACTCTTCAATAAGACTTTTTGTGGCAATCTGCCTGTTAACATTTTAATTATTTTATCTTGGGAAGAAAGGACTGCTTGATTTCCTGGTATAGCTAAACTGGTAGATTATCGACAACGTGCTTGTTTACCTTATTGCTTGCTCATATATATCTCTCGATCCTTGATTATTAAATATGTTCATATGGTATTCAGGCCCGTTACCAGGATTTGCCAATGGGGCTCACTTTTAAAGAAATTCGTTAGGGGGTTCTCTTTTGACAACTTCGGCCCAAAAGTGACCTGGTATTTATCCCAGGGTCCATATGGTTGTTTCTTGTTGTTTTATTGTTAAGATCACAATATACTGTGCTTAGGGCTTTATCATTTCACCATACCCTAAATAAAACTATTGTGAATGTACATAAAATATAAATAAAAAATAAAAATTATGTTTCAAAAGGACTTTAATTTTTATAACAGTTCTACCTGAGATGACAATGGTAAATATTTAAGATATTTTTGACATTTTCCCTTGAAATAAGAATTCTTTGATTAACTTTTACCTTTTTATGTCCCCACCACATAGTGTGGGGCCATATTGTCGGCCTAGGCGCGTCCGTCCATCCGTCTGTCTGTCTGTCTGTCCGTCTGTCCGTACGTCCGGCAGTTTTCTCCAAAACCGCTACAGATATCACCTTCAAATTTTCAGGGATTACTTATGAGTGCATACAGATGTGGATGGAAAAAAATTAACTCGATACCTACTTCCTGTCGGCCATTTTGAAGTCAAATGCTAAAATCCTTGTCTGCAAACTTTAAGAAAAACGGCTTCACAGGTGCTTTCAAAACTTTAACATCTTGTTCAGCTCACTTCATTCTAGATCTGATTAGGTTTTGGACCTGTTAGCTCAGTCATGTCAGCCATTTTGAATGTTTTAAGAAAAGTTAGCGCACGATAATACTTGGTATCATATTGAATGGTGTTTTTCAGTTTTCATACTTTAACTATTTAGTAGCTTTATAAATAATTTCAGGAGTACTTTGTTGTAAAAGCCTATGTTATTGTTAACAGTAGTAATATGTGATAATTTTGTAAAAAGTAATCAGCAAAAACTCATAATCGCTTTTTTATTGTCTGCCATTTTGGATTTTTCCATCCTAAAATCTTGTCTGTAAAGTCTTGTCTATGCGTTTTCAGGTGAACCGTTTGGTAGATCAATTTCAAATTTTCAGGGATGATTCTTAGTATGAAAATCTAGATCTGATTAGTTTTTGGGCATTCTGGGTAAATGTCAAGGCAGCCATTTTGGATTTTCCATCCTAAAATCTTGTCTGTAAAATCTTGTCTATGCATTTTCAGGTGAACCGGTTGGTAGATCAATTTCAAATTTTCAGGGATGATTCTCAGTGTGAAAATCTAGATCTGATTAGTTTTTGGGCATTCTGGGTAAATGTCAAGGCAGCCATTTTGGATTTTCCGTCCTAAAATCTTGTCTGTAAAGTCTTGTCTATGCATTTCCAGGTGAACCGTTTGGTAGATCAATTTGAAATTTTCAGGGATGATTCTCAGTATGAAAATCTAGATCTGATTAATTTTTGGGCATTCTGGATAAATGCCAAGGCAGCCATTTTAGTTTTCCGTCTTAAAATCTTGCCTGTAAAGTCTTGTCTACGCGTTTTCAGGTGAACCGTTTGGTAGATCAATTTCAAATTTTCAGGGATGATTCTTAGTATGAAAATCTAGATCTGATTAGTTGTTGGGCATTCTGGGTAAATGTCGAGGCAGCCATTTGGGATTTTCTGTCCTAAAATCTTGTCTGTGAAGTCTTGTCTACACATTTCCAGGTGAACTGTTTGGTAGATCAATTTCAAATTTTCAGGGATGATTCTTAGTATGAAAATCTAGATCTGATTAGTTTTTAGTTTTTGGGCATTCTGGGTAAATGTCAAGGCAGCCATTTTGGATTTTCCGTCTTAAAATCTTGCCCGTAAAGTCTTGTCTACGCGTTTTTAGGTGAACCGTTTGGTAGATCAATTTCAAATTTTCAGGGATGATTCTTAGTATGAAAATCTAGATCTGATTAGTTTTTATGCATTCTGGATGAATGTCAAGGCAGCCATTTTGGATTTTCCGTCCTAAAATCTTGCCCGTAAAGTCTTGTCTACGCGTTTTTAGGTGAACTGTTCGGTAGATCAATTTCAAATTTTAAGGGATGATTCTTAGTATGAAAATCTAGATCTGATTAGTTTTTGGGCATTCTGGGTAAATGTCAAGGCAGCCATTTTGGATTTTCTGTCCTAAAATCTTGTTTGTAAAGTCTTGTCTACGCATTTCCAGGTGAACCGTTTGGTAGATCAATTTCAAATTTTCAGGGATGATTCTTAGTATGAAAATCTAGAACAGATTAGTTTTTTGGCATTCTGGATAAATGTCAAGGCAGCCATTTTGGATTTTCTGTCATCAAATCTTGTCTGTAAAGTCTTGTTTACATGTTTTCTGGTTAACTGTGTACTGATCAATTTCAAATTTTCAGGGGTGGTTCTTAGTATGAAAATCTAGAACCGACTAATTTTTGGGCATTCTGGGTAAATTTTAAGGTGGCCATTTTGGATTTTCCGTCCTCAAATTGTGTCGGTAAAGTCTTGTCTACTCATTTTTAGGATAACAATTTGACGGGATCATCCATAGGGGGGGGGGACATTTTGTACACATTTGTGTTCTTGTTTACCATTCTGACATATGTGATAATGGATGGTGCAATTAGCACTATAGCAAAAATAGTATAGCTACTTATATGTCTATTGTTGTTGATATTGTTGTTATTGTTGAGCATTCACTTTATTTGTTCAGATATGTAAACATGTGTGTGGTAAAGTCAATAGTCATGGCCTTCTTTTGGAATACACCATCAACAATTGTCTTTTCATTTAATTTCTAGAAATAAGGGGAAGGATGGATGTAAATGTATATTCATTTATTTCCTTTTTTCATCGACCTCTTAGGCATCCCAGTAGTCTAGCTACAAGCCCCTGTAACCCTGTGTAGTGGGGGTGGGGACACAAAGCCTTGTATCTAGACTAGCATCCCATCATTTAGGTATCTTGGAGGATTTTGATTTGCGCTTTAATAATCAGTTTGATATAGCATTAATGTCACAGTTGATTTGGGACCATATTAAATAATTGATGGGTATGTATGGTAACATATTGATATTTGATGATGTTTCTTTGCAGTCAATGTATCAGTCATCAACATTTGCAAAATCCTTCCGTGTTTTGTCATTTCAGTTAAACCACATCATCTTTTTCACTTTTGAGATGCACATGGCAGTTGCAAAACATTAACAACTAATGAGTATCAGAATGTCTGTGTTCTCATGGAAAACTAACAGGATAATATTTTGTACAATGAAAAGGTGGTGTTACTTGTTGGTGCATTATGTCGGAAATATGTGATATTTGATTGATCTGACATCTATAGAAAACAGTATAAACTCACTCACAATTGAAATGTATAAATTGTCTTTATAAAAAAGGAAAAAACCAAGATGTGATTAAATCTGATATTGATAGATCATTTAACAGAAAAACCAGATCTTATGATATGTATCACATAAGTAGGGATAACTGAATATTAATGGCATGCAGGATTCTGTATTGCTTTGTTAATGGAAGTTTAAATCCCTGTAGCAAATTGGGAGCTCAACAGTATCTGTACAAATATTCAGTGATAATCTTATAATGATAAATGAAACAAATCCATCTTTGTAGATCATTGAATAACATCATTCTGATACTCATAGCATCTTTCTGTTTCACCTGAAACATCTCAGGACTGAGATGAAATGAGATGTCATGGTTTATGATGATGGAATAACATATATTCACTCACTATGGGTAGGGCAGTATATATAGAATAATGAGAAACTTCACTCTGATACAATCTATTCCATGCTTCTTCCTCTTATATGAATAAACTGAATTATTCTGTATTAGCTCTATGTTTATGTGCCTTTTCCATTCCTAATTTCAGCATTTTTATATCACCTCCGGAAGTGGTGACATATTGTTCAGTGGTTGGTGTAACAAATGGCAGGTGATGACATTTTGCATGTCAATGCCTTGTTATGTCACCACCAAAAGTGTTATAAATACTATAACAAATATTATTATAGTCTCTTACTTTATTTATTGCCATTTTGCATGTTAATAACTTGTTACTCTTATTATATTTTATAATGTTAAACATTATTGCTGTTGATGTAATGAATTAAGCTGATCTCTGAAATAACCTATGATAAATATAAGTCACCTTATTAGAAATGAAAGTATATAACATAAGAGGCCCTTTATCGATCTCTAAAATACCCCAATTCTAATGATAATTCAGTCGCCTTATTGGGTATACCACTTCCTATATTCAGACCTAATATGGGATATCATCAGATGACCTAAATATTCTCCCCTGTTAATTGTTTTTACCCGCTGGCTGAATGTTGGTGCCATTTTCTACTTTCAGACCATGTGACCGATCAGCAGATGACCTAGATATAATCTACACAAGGTTAAAGAACTCATCAGCATTTGAAAAATATCATCCGATCCTGCTTCAACAAATCTGCTTCTACTGCTATTATGAGGATTTAGAAAAAGGCGTCACATGTAAGTCGTAAAATTTTCATCGCAGTAATTTAATGAAATCCAAAATTGCCTAAAAAGACTGGAATCGGGAAATATTGAACTAAACAGAAATGTCGTTAAACACTCTAAATTGTGTATAATAGCATTCAATGTAGGGGAATCGGTCAATTTATTCAAATTTTAGACAGAAATTATGTAGAAAATATATAGTACATGTATTTGTATGTAAATTGACTGACCTAAATTCTATTTTTGCTCACAATATGTCAAACTAGAAATATTAATGTACAATTTAGATATAATTTGCTCTCCAGTATAAATAGGCTTCATTTGTTCATTAAAAAAGTAGTTAAGCCTTCATTTAATCAATGTGTCCACAGAATAAATGATTTTTCTACTGGCTCTTTGTTTCGAAGAATTTTATTGATCAATTAATTGAGAATGGCTCGTCCATTCTGGATATATTGCATTTTGAACTTCAAGGTCTGTTACGCTACAAATACTTGGAAAGAGGTTATCATTATTCAACATCTAGTCTATATTAGGCATATCATAGGTAAGGCATGAGGCAGTTGAGGCAACAGCCTCACCAAAATGGTGAACTCGTTATATGCACATTAATCTGTACAGATGTTTGTGCACATTTTCAGAATGTGTGATTCGGCAAAGACAGTTTAAATTCTTTCGAATTCTGTGTTAACTTTTAACATTTGGATGCTCAGATTGTGACAGATTGGTAAAAGCATAGTCATGTTGGGTATTCTGATGTTCATAGCATTTCCCTGTTTCACCTGAACATCTCAGGGCTGAGAAGAAATGAGATGTCAGGGTTTATCATGATGATGTTGGGTATGTAATACATCACTTTTGTCAAAATGACATGAAATATACCCTCGTTCTTGCCTAAGTCTGGGTAATGACAGAGCTTGGGCATATTTCACGTCATGGTGCCATAATCTCTAAACATTGCATAGCCCTGATGTGTTATGTTATTTCAGTGTTCAGACAAGGTGACATGGGGACCAACTGGTACACTGTTCTATCAGGGGCTCTGGTTGTACATATATCTGAGACAGGGAATTCAAAGGTAAGTCTTTCTTCCTATCCTTATTAGACTTAAATATAAGAAGAGACTGAGGGTATATTTCACAGTTCAGTCTAGTACAAAACTTCTAGTACAGTCTAATTCAGATTCTCTAATTCAGTCTAGTATACATTTCCTAGTACAGTCTATAACAAAACATTAAGTACAGTCCAGTCCAGATACTCTAGTGCAGTCTTGTGCACATTTCTACTCTTAGTACAGTCTGGTACAAAACCCTAAATACAGTCAGTCCAGATTCTCTGGTACAGTCTAGTGCAGATTCACTAATACAGTCTAGTCCAGATTCTCCAGTACAGTCCAGTTCATAACCCCTAATACAGGCTAGTGCAGATTCACTAATACAGTCTAGTCCAGATTCTCTAGTACAGTCTACTTCATAACCCCTAGTACAGTCTAGTACAGATTCACTAATACAGTCTAGTCCAGATTCTCCGTTACAGTCTAGTTCATAACCCCTAGTACAGTCTAGTACAGATTCACTAATAAAGTCTAGTCCAGATTCTCCTGTACAGTCTAGTTCATAACCCCTAATACAGTCTAGTGCAGATTCACTAATAAAGTCTAGTCCAGATTCTCTTGTACAGATTACTTCATAACCCCTAATACAGTCTAGTGCAGATTCACTAATAAAGTCTTGTCCAGATTCTCTAGTACAGTTTACTTCATAATCCCAAGTACAGTCTTGTACAGATTTACTAATACAGTCTAGTCCAGATTCTCAAGTACAGTCTAGTTCTTAACCCCTAGTACAGTCTAGTGCAGATTCACTAATAAAGTCGTGTACACTTTCTCTATTACACACATTCCCTGGTTCAGTTTAACCTGATATATCCTATTTGATACTCAATGTCAAAATGATAGAGTTGAAATAAATAGGAGAAAACGTCATTATAAAGCTTGTGATGGGAGCACAGTTTATCATGTAGCAGCCAGGCTGAAATGTGTACTAGGAGCCATGGGTTAGGCATACCAAATGTACAACAAATCATTTTAACTGCTAATAAAAATTGAAATTTGCCCATAAATAAAACCTCAATGGTCTTTTTATCGCAGCTCCAGAAAATTTAGACACTGACAAGCGTGTCTTTGGGAATAATCATGCAAGTGTTTGGTATTATATCACCATTGTATATTATTCAATAAATGCAAATCATTTCCCAAAAGGGATCATTTCTCAAATTCATTCAACCGTTGAATTCCTTAGACTTGATGGCCTTGGACTATTTAATTCAGAATAATTTAGAAATAATGAGGAAAATGTGCTTTTAACTCAGAAATTATTGCTTTGATTTGTTAAATGTGTCATTACCTTGGATTCCGTTGCATTTTGTTTTGTGAAAAATGTTCATCCATTGTTATTAGGCGATAAATGGGTAGCAACAATGTATCTTACACTGATTTATTAGATAATGTATAATTGACAATGTAGGGGTCCAAATATGACATTGGTAAGATGTAATTACTCATTACCAAAGGTAACAGTTTACAGCTTAGTATTTAGAGAATAATGAAAAACACTTGTGAAATCCATGAAATTAGATAGCCGCAAAATTGTGATTTCTCATAATTCGAAATTTGAGCTTGGAAAATACCTTTTCAACCATAGTTCTATGAAGGTAGACATAATTTGGCTCAAAGTTAAGGAAGATAGTCTTTTCTCAAACAAGACTATCTTCCTTAACTTTGAGCCAAATTATTGTCCACAACTTGACTTATAAGTGGTATAGAATCGAGAAATAAAAATATATTAGCAAAAACGAAGCCCGGAAGTTCTTCCATCTTGTTACGCTGATGTATCGTCAGCGTAACTAGGTGAGTATCAGTGATTACATCATTTGGGTAATGCTATCTAAAAGTAGAATTCAGCCAGTCAGTCAATCAAAGTAGTATGTTAAGTGCTTGTAATGAGAGGAGTGACAGGTTGGCCTGACCCATCTGACATTGAGCAGTTGGTGACATTATTTCTTGACATTTATTGACTCCCAAGTGTTCAATGCAATATATGTTGTAATTGTTATAGATTGATGTCTACACAATTTTCTGTTCTATTTTTCTCTATTACTCTCTAAAATTTGAATGAAGTACCTAATTTTCTTACATTTCTATACAATTTAGAGTGTTGCCTGAAAGACTGTTTAGTTTATACCTTTCTCATCTAATCTTTTCATCCATATTTCACATTTCAAAATACGACCATCATGATAATTTTTCAAGGGACGATTACTGTGTTATGTACAGTACATGTACTGAATAAGATGTTCATTTGAACAAAATGTTTTGACGGATGAGATGTTTTAAACTTATGAAAGAGTGGAATCAGAAAGTAAATGGATAAATAATCAATATTCTAATAAGTATAGATACGTACATGGATGTAAATCAAATAGCAAGAATGACACCAAGGTATTAAATCAACTTTTAATTCAACATAGGCTTCTTCAGTAGTAATATTTTTAAATAACTTGACAGGAGTTTATAGTGTAGTGTTGCCAGCTGACTGCAGACTTGTTGCTTCAGAGTTTTGTTGCCATAACAATGGAATAAAACAATATGGTTTCAAGATGTTTTCTATTAATAATCATATACTGTAATATTAATTGAAAGATATCGATTGAATGATTTGTAACAATGTGCTGCCTGGATGTCCTCGGCTGTTAAGCATGATAAACTATTAAAAGTGTGTTATCATTCAATAACAATGTAAAAGTGCAATATGTTACTTGTAATTATATTATTTGAAGAACATCCTCCAACCAATCACTTCTTTATTGCACGTTATTGCCTCGTCCAATATTCAGATATACAACATGTACTTAACATGAGTGGTGATGAGTTTAAATACAGAGTCATGTACAGATTACATGTACCATAATTGCAGTTGGATTTAATCGGACAGGAAAAACAATTGCTAGGAGTTGTGAAGCACCTAGTGTTAAGAACGAGGAATTGGGTTAAAGTTGGATTAAACGAGGAATTGATACGTTATTATAAAAGTGGATTAAGCTTTATTATTTCAGCAGCTAAATTATGATACCCATGAGAAAATCTCATAAAGGCCGTGCTTTGAACTCTGAAATAGGGTGAAAAGGAATGGAATCAGGAATGACTGTTACAAGCACATGGGGCGATCTTAATTGTACAGAAATGTTATAATATGATGGGGTTCTCTTATTAAATTTAAGAACAAAAGGCGTAAAGTACAAATGTAGGCAACGTCGCTTGGAGCTTTTAATCACACGTAATGATTGGGAGTAGAGAAGAATGCACTCTGGGGAACTTGGTTATGGCAAGTGCAATGCTCTGTTCCACCCATTTATTGCTTTGGAAAATCGTTCAATAGATGTAGGAGGGACAAATTGTTTTAAAGAACATGATTTGAACTTTAAAGCCAGAAGCTCGTTCAATAATTGACATTTAACATGATACAATGTTAATTCACTCAAAGGCATAAAACGGGAAAAGAAATACAGTATAGAAAATAACTTTATTGATAATCCAAGGACTGAGGGCCACAAGACGTCCAAGTTAAATATGGAAACGCTAGAAAATTAGATACTTAATGAAAAAACATGAATAATAGCCATGTCCAAATGTGAGTGACATTCTGATTTTAAGTGAGATGAAATTACTATATTCTGGTTGTCGTAATTACAGAAATCCCCACTAATGGGATAAATGATGTTACAGTCAATGTTGTACATAATAGATTGACTAAGATCAGACATAGTTAAACATTTTATCAAAGGAAGGAGGACATGCTGGATAAACGCATCCGGAGATCAATAAACTGCCGTCAACCATCACCGAACAACCATCTACCTTCAAATAAAGAATCAATGGTTAATCAAGAAGAAAACAACGCGAATGCTATGTCTCTTTTATAAAATCACAATTTAATTTCCCAGTTTTTCGGGGTTACGCAAATAGTGGTGTAAATTACTTCCTTATTAGATGCAGTTCCTCGTAATTAAACTCTATTGTGAGTTATTTTGTGAGGACATAGAATCAGAATAACAAGACTTATTTGATTCGGGATATGTAACGATTAATCTTTGGAAACAGAGTGGAGTTCTATATACCTGGATACCTGGGAAATAAAACCTTTGATAATTTATTGCCACAAAGTCATAAAGATAGACCAAGATCTGATTAATTAAGGTCATTATTATTTTGTGATCCCAGAATAAGTGCCGTGTGATGTAGATAGATACGTGCCGTCTCATAATATGTGCTGTAGTATGAGCCTGACACACATTCGGGACTGGTGCCGCAGGAGAGGAGGACGCAGGGTAAGATTTATTCCCATAATTCTTACATAATACATAATACTACATAACTCCCATGTGGCTTGCTCTAGTGATTAGCCCCATTTATATTGTTGGAGTATAGTTCCATTATAAAGGTGCATATTTTAGCAGTAATTTGTCTTGTAGGATATTAATGCGTTAAAACTACTAAATTCCTTTGTGACTTGCTCTAGTGATCAGCCCCATTTGTATTGTTCAAGTAATAGTTCAATTATAAAGGTGCATATTTCAGCCTTCATGGCTTGCTCTAGTGATCAGCCCCATTTATATTGTTCAAGTAATAGTTCAATTATAAAGGTGCACATTTCAGCCTTCATGGCATGCTCTAGTGATCAGCCCCATTTATATTGTTCAAGTAATAGTTCAATTATAAAGGTGCACATTTCAGCCTTCGTGGCATGCTCTGGTGATCAGCCCCTTTTATATTGTTCAAGTAATAGTTCAATTATAAAGGTGCACATTTCAGCCTTCGTGACATGCTCTAGTGATCAGCCCCATTTATATTGTTCAAGTAATAGTTCAATTATAAAGGTGCACATTTCAGCCTTCGTGGCATGCTCTAGTGATCAGCCCCATTTATATTGTTCAAGTAATAGTTCAATTATAAAGGTGCACATTTCAGCGGCGAATGTAATTTGTCTAGTAGGATATTAATGCATTAAAACAACTAAATCC